CTCACAGAGGGGCTCGCTTGGGTGCCTGGCCCAGCACACACACACCCACACCCCTCTGGACCACAAGCTTCCCCAGCAGCCACTTGCCCGCTTTTCGACAGCGCACGAACAGCCTGGCTCCTCGCGGAGCTCGCACGGGGGGGGGAGGCGCTAGATCCCCTGCGCACACCTCCCCGCCGGCACACTTTTCAGTTCCATGCAGAGTCAATCAGAAGTGCAGCTGGGCAGAAGCGCCCTCTGGGGGTCGCCCCGCTCGCTTGTTGCCCCTTTTCAGCACGGTTGCTGCACCAGGAGGTGGCTCGTGGCGCGCGGAGCTGGACTGTCACGGCGCGTTGCCGTGGTCTGAACGGCCGAAGGGGCCCTCCGCGCAGGCCTGGCCGCCGTGCCAGTTCCCGACGGAGCGCATGGAAGAAGCCCTGAGAGGGTGTTGGCGGCGGCAGCAGGAGCCCCTCCACTGGTCAGGCAGGAAAGGGAAGCGGTGTGGTCGGAGTGCCCGCCTGGGTTCCAGTCCCCGCTCCGCCCTGAAGTCGGGGTGTGGAAGGGTCCGGGAGGCCTGCACATTGCAGGACAGGCAGGACAACCATGTTGGGGGCCGGCTTCGGCGGCAATGCTTTCCTCGCCCAAACCAGCCCCTCCTCTCCTGCGCACTGACGAGTCCCGCACAAGGGCGCCGGGTGACCCGGTGGTGGTGGGGAGGGCAGCCCCCCCCACGAGCCACTTGCCGCTTCCCGTGCCTCTTGCAGCCTTTGGCGCATCCTGCTGGGTGAGCCACATCCCGTGCCCTCGCTCCGCCCGCTGGGCAGCGCTTTAGCCGGGATGGGCCTTGGCGGCAAGCGGAGCCGCCGTCTCGGCCTTCAGCGCCGCCGCTGCCAGCCTCTCATCTTCGGGCCGAGGGGAGGGGGGAGCAGAGAATCGGGGAAGAGGGCCCACAAAACCCGCGGAAGGGCGGGCCCCGCGGGCCCCACATGAGCTACGGGCCTGAGCCCAATGTTTCTGTGATGTATACCTTGATGAATCTGCCCACTCAGTGTGCCACAGCAGTGAAAAAGGCAAAATCTGTGCTAGGGATTATTAGGAAAGGTCTGAGATCAAAGTGGACAATATTGCTGATGCCCTTGCGTGGCCGTATTTGGACTGCAGCGTTTACTTCTGGTAACTGGAATACTGCATGCACTTCGGGTGGCTATGCCTCCAAAAGGTTTTTTTTTAGTTTTGGAACAATTGCAGAAAGGGGCAACTGAAATGATGATGGGGTTTGTAACGAAATGGCATTTACCTGGGTGTGAAAGATGGAGGCCTGGTATTTAAAAGGATTTCCCCATAAGGGTAAGTGGTCTGTAGTTCCAGACAGGGGCCTGCAGGGGGTTGATTGGGACTTCCTCATTTGCCTGCCGACATTTCCCAGAAGCGCTAGGGAAAAAGGGTGGGAAAATATGGACACGCCCCAGGGGTGGAGCCAGGCGGATAAAGGCTTGGGCCCCTGAGGAGAGTTTTGCCGCTCCAAGGGAGCGGACAGGTGGGGGCTCCTGTTGCCTCAAACTCCAGGGCATCCAGGCCACTATAAACGGTGGTGGACAGCCAGGAGGGCAACAGGACCAGTGACCAGTCCGGTGGAGGGCTGGGGGTTTCTCCACAACCACAGGAGGGGGGGAGCAAAACCCATCCTGAGGCCCACGACCTCCAGAGATAGTGTAGGGGACAGAGGAACGGCGTTTTAAATCGTGTTTCTTTTCTGCCCAGGTTGTGTCAATGTGCTCGTGTTTATTTTCTGCGCTTAACTTGTACATAGTTAAAATAAACCTTTTTTGAGTTAAGTAAGACCTGGTGTGCCTTGACCATCTAGTAGGGTTGCCAAGTCCTTACCTTATGAA